TATAAGAAGATACAATGGACAAAATTACAATGGGACATTCATGCTTTTTCTTGGAAATAACCTCCTTACATCTCAAAAAATCATTGACACGAAAGAGAAGCCTTATAAGTGTTTGGAATGCGGAAAATGTTATAAAACAAGCACGCAACGTAGTTCCCATGAAAGGATTCACTCTGGGGAGAAGTCCTACAAATGCAGAGAGTGTGGTGAAAAGTTCAGAAGATGTAGTAATCTTATTTCCCATAAAAGGATCCACTCAGGAGAGAAACCATATAAATGCATGGAGTGTGGAAAGACCTTTGCTCAGAGCAGTGGATTCAGAAACCACAAAATGATCCACACAGGGGAGAAAGCATATAAATGTACTGAGTGTGGGAAAACTTTTACTCGTAGCTATGACCTTACTATCCACAAAATGATCCACACAGGGGAGAAGCCATATAAATGCATGGAGTGTGGAAAGAACTTTGCTGACAGGAGTGGACTCAGAAACCACAAAAGGATCCATACAGGGGAGAAGCCATTTCAATGCATGGAGTGTGGAAAGACCTTTGCTCAGAGCAGTGGACTTAATTCCCACAAAAAGATCCACACAGGGGAGAAGCCATTTCAATGCATGGAGTGTGGAAAGACATTTGCTCATAGATCTAATCTTATTTCCCATAAGATGATCCACACAGGGGAGAAGCCATATAAATGCATGGAGTGTGGAAAGAACTTTGCTGACAGGAGTGGACTTAGTTCCCACAAAAAGATCCACTCAGGAGAGAAACCATATAAATGCATGGAGTGTGGAAAGAACTTTGCTAACAGGAGTGGACTCAGAAACCACAAAAGGATCCATACAGGGGAGAAGCCATTTCAATGCATGGAGTGTGGAAAGACCTTTGCTCAGAACGGTGGACTTAGTTCCCACAAAAAGATCCACACAGGGGAGAAGCCATTTAAATGCATGGAGTGTGGAAAGACATTTGCTCATTGTAGTCATCTTATTTCCCATAAAAGGATCCACACAGGTGAGAAACCATATAAATGCATGGAGTGTGGAAAGACATTTGCTCATTGTGGTCATCTTATTTCCCATAAAAGGATCCACACAGGGGAGAAACCATATAAATGCACTGAGTGTGGAAAGACCTTTGCTCAGAGCAGTGTACTTCATCGCCACAAAAAGATCCACACAGGAGAGAAACCATATAAATGCATGGAGTGTGGAAAGAC